GCCCCCCCCCCCCCCGAAAGCCACATCCTGAAACACAGGCCAGAAAGACCTGCCCAAGCATTTCAGCCACCGCAGGGGCAAAGGGGCGAAGGCAAATGGTGCTGCCTCCTGGCAAGTTGGGGCAGGAGGCCCTAAGCCATTTCCTTCGTGCCTTCCCACCATCCCTGGGCTTCTCCACTCCCAGCTGGGGACCCGGGTTTCTGAGCAAGCTGGCACACCCACCCCAGCTTCGTCTCAGTGTCAGCGTGATGTGACTGTTCATCGGATTACCAACGACAACGACCTAGAGGTGTGCACGGGACGGGGCCTTTAGTTAGAAAGTGTTTCCATGGCTGCTGACCACCGCCTTGTCCTCACAGCCACCCTGCGAGGCAGGAGGCAGTAAGAATGGGCTGTGAGCGAGGAACCCCAGGAACCGAAGCTCTGAGAAGGAAGTGACCTGCCCTGGTCACATGGCTTCCATGCAGGGGAGCCAGAGTCCATGCCAGGACCTTGGCTGGTCCAGTGCTCCATGCCTGAGGTACTGGACAATAGCCAGTCACCCTGACCAGGCCTGGGGCAGGGGAGAGGACCCGGAGTCGGAGTGCCCCTTGGACCACGTGCACGCCTGTTCCCTCCATCCGGCTGTGTGTCCTAGGGCTCTAGTTTCCAACCCAAGCTGTGTAAGTTGGGCCAAGCGCGCTGAAAACCATTTCCAGCTGAGTCTGGGTGTGCAGAAGAAAGCTGTGTGTGTGCCCTTTCCATAGGTCACACAGCCCACAGCCACGCTCACGCACTCTCCCTTCACCCAGCCCTGCTGTCGGCCCCTCCTTCAGGCTCGGTGAGGATCGAGAGGGTCTCTGGCGTCTCTGCATATTTTATATACAAAAATATATGTATATCTTTTACCTTCCTTTGGACCCGGAGCTCCCCAGGATGGCCCTGTCCTGTCCTGGACCCCTTGCTGAGTCGCCCACCTGCTTTCTAGTTATCTGGCTCCTTCCTCCCTTTGGGCTGGACCATTTGGCTTGGTGGGGGTGGGGAAGGCTTTACTGTAAACACGCTGGCCAGCTTTCAGTAAGCACCTACCTCTGCTGCCCCTGCTGCAGACAACAGGGTGCAAAGGGGCGGGCGGTCCCCAGCCCTATACCCAGACACCCTGCCAAGCTGGTGGGGAACCACATGCCCCGAAAGGAGGCCCAGACTGAGCCATTGGTGGGGAGGGATGAGGTGTCCATCAGAAAAGGGGACGAGACTTGAGAGTCAACCCAGTCCCATTCCTCATTTGCCAGAAGAGGAAGTTGAGGCTTGGACTGGGTGGTGGCTCGCCCTGGTCACCTCTCCTGCCAGGGTCACTTCGTCCATTTGCTGCAGTGTCCTGGCCCAGGTTCTCTGGCATTGCTGTGTGGGATTCCACACCTTCCGGGAGAGGAGGTGGGCAGGTCGAGGGCAGGGAAGGCTGGACCGAGGCCATGGTGGACCAGCTATGGACCCCCATCGCCCTCCCAGGACGAGCTACGGCCTCGGCTCTGCACCATGAAGAAAGGCGCCAACGGCTATGGCTTCAACCTGCACAGCGACAAGTCCAAGCCAGGCCAGTTCATCCGGGCGGTGGACCCAGGCTCCCCGGCAGAGGCTTCGGGGCTCCGGGCCCAGGACCGCATCGTGGAGGTAACACTTCCCACCCTCTTCCCAGGTCTTCCTTCCCTACTGCCTCCCTGCAGCCCACAGCGCTTGGGGCAGCCAGCACACACCTGCTGCCTGGTCAGCCCAGGGCAGAGCCAGCCCAGAGGTGCTGATGGGCCAGTGGGCTGCGTAGACCAAGAGACTGACCGACTGACTTCTCTCCACCCTGCTGCCCTGGCCTGTTCTTCACTGAGCAGCCCTGCTCAAGCCCACAGTTCACCTATCACTCCAGCTAGATGTCCGGGCCGCCCCCCGAGCTTCCCTGTGGGCTTTTAGACACACTCGCTCTTTACTGCCAGGTGTGCTCCCAGGGAAGGAAGCATGAATCAGAGGCTTGGGCAGGTCCCAGAATCTCAGTCGTAGAACCTTAGAGCTGGAGATCGGCTCTCCCAGACTTCTCGTTTTACACGGGAGCAAACCAAGGCCGCGTGGTGAGTCGGACGAGTAAGGAGAGAGGCCGGGCCCAGCCAGGCCGCCCAGCTCTCCCCCGCCTCGCAGCCGTCTGTTTGGTCCCGTCGGGAGGTTTCCTTTGGCATTTCCCAGCTGACAGTCAAGTGGGACAACCACTGGCCTAGTCCAGGACTGCATGGAGGCTCAGTAGCCCCAGATTGTGAACTGGCTGTGAACAGGCCCTCCCCCGCCCCCGCCGCTAGTACTGACACCTGTCTGTGACCCCACCCCACCTGCAGGTGAATGGGGTCTGCGTGGAGGGCAAGCAGCACGGGGAGGTGGTGTCTGCCATCAAGGCCGGTGGGGACGAGACCAAGCTGCTGGTGGTGGACAAGGAAACCGATGAGTTCTTCAAGAAGTGCAAAGTGATCCCGTCCCAGGAGCACCTGACGGGTGAGCTGGGTGGGGCCGTGGCTGTGGGCGGCGGGCCCCAGGCAGGTGCTGACCTTGTCCAGGTGAGGGTAGGCAGCTGCCTGGTTTGTGGCTTGGACATTCCCTCCCTCACCTTCAGGAGAGGCCCAGGGTGAGGGTGTGGGACAGGAAGCAGGAAAAAATGTAGGGTTTCTAGGGTGGGTCTGTGAGGGAAGCTGGCCTGAGGGATGGTCAGAGGACTGGAACTGAGTTTCTGCTGCACCAAAGGGTGGCCTGGGCCCTGGCCCGGCCGCTGCCAGGGAGCAGGTTCTCAGCGCACACAGACACCGGGAAAGGGTTAACTCTGGGGAGGCCTTCCAGCCTTTGCTTGGTCGATCAGAGTCCAGTGACAGGGGCTCAGTGCCTCCACTCTCTTCTCTCGGGTTGTCTTGGAAACTCAGGCTTGCTGGCTGGAGAGAGCAGTGGGTCCCTGCTCCGGCCCCTGGGCCCCTGCCCTCCCCACCCCCACCTTTCTCCTGCCAAGCCTGGCACCTCCCCTGCCCAAGGCTGAGCCAAAGGGGGCAGGGCTCGGGGAGGAGTTGAGCAGCCCTCTGCTCCCTGGGCTGGACTTTCTCCTGGGAAGATGGCTCCCTGGGGGATAGGGAGTGCTCCCTGGGCCACACTGAGGGTCGAACCTCTTTGGACTCTGCAGTGGGTAAAGCCTCCCTGAGAGTCAAGGTTGAATTTGTGGAGGGGACCCACTTGCAGGTCCTCCCAGATGCAGATCCCCTGCTGGAAGTGCCCAGGAGAGACCCGCTCTCAGAGGACTGAAGCGGGTCCCCATACGGGTCACAGGGGTGCGAGCACCTCACCCTTGTCTCTCAAGGTCATGGAAACTAGACAACTCAGATAATCCACTCCCTGAGGGAAGGAAGGACTGAGGCCAGAAGCCCAGCCTTGCTCTTGGGGACATGGCCCAGGGAAGACAGGTGAAGTCTGGATTCCACTTGGCCCCGCCTCATCCAGCACCTCGCCCCTTCACCCAGCTAGTCTGCAGCAGCTGTCCAGATGACTCTGGCTGGGGAGGCTGCAGCCTCTGGCCAGAGGACCTGTAGAGGGAGAGGCCTGAGGAGGTCTCCCAGGTGCTCCTCCCTAGCAAGGAATGCCCACTCTCAACAGCTGTCAGGGCCTGGAGCTAATGGAGAAAAGGCTGGCTTGGGGGGAGGGGAAGGGGGAGTGCCCTGTGTCCAGGCCTGTCCTGGGAAGGCTGTAGGAGTCGGGGTGGACCAGGCGAAAGCCAGGTGTGCCCATCTCTGGCTGTGCCCACGGACAAAGGGAAAGACACCATAAATTTCAAGGTAAGCACTCAGAAGACACGCCCTGAACAGAGGCAGAATAACCCCCCGGAAGCCATGGGCCTCCACCCTGCAGGAGCCCAGTAAGAGTGACCCCAGGCCTCACTCCTGCCACTAGGCTTCCCACTGGTTGGAGGCGGACACTGCCCTGAGTCTCTTGTCCCTCCTCATTTCCAGGTTGGCAAGTACAGTTGGGATGATTTTCTCTTCCAGATGAGGCAGATACTGATCGTAATCTGGGCGTGGCTCCCTTAATCACCTGGGAAGCTTCTGAAAAATGCTGCCTTCTAGGCCTGACCCCAACCCATCCAGTCGGAAATTCTGGTGCCAGGGCCGAAGTTTTTTTTTTTTTTTTTTTGCTGTAGGGCATGTGCACTTGCCAGAGAGAGAAAGAGGGAAAGTGAGAAGTCACCCCCCAGGGAGATGGCCACACCACAGTCCTTTCTCCATTCTCCTCTCAGGATTTTGAACATCCACGCACAGGCACCCAGTGTAATTTTTCAAGCCCCTGGGTCCAGGACTCCCAACTGCACAGTCAGCCATGTGAGAGCCAGTGCCTTAACTTCCATGCCACCTGCTGTCCCAGAAATCTACAACTTTTTAAAAAATTAGTTAACTTTATTATTATTATTATTTAATTTGGCCAGAGAGAGGAGTTGGGAGAGAGAAAGCAAGTTGCCAGGTCTGGGACTTGAACCATCATCAGTCATGTGGGAGTCCAGTGCCCTTAACCACTACGCCACCTGCCACACCCATTTACTTTTTTCTTTTTTTGAAAGTATTATTTTGTTTAACTTTATTTTTAAATTTTGACCAGAGAGAGAGAGAGACAGAAAAGCTGAGAAAGCAAGTCACCAGTTCTGGGACTCGAACTGTGCGGTCAGCCATGTGGGAGTCCAGGGCCCCTAATTACCACGCCACGTGCCGGCCCCTCATCCCCATATACTTTTAACAATCCTCCTAGATCCGAATTAGGCAGCCAGCTGGAATGTCAGCCCCACCTAGGATGGTGCGTTTTTGAAACAGATCACAACCCATCTGTAGCTCTGGAGATGAGCGTAGTAAGTAGAGCCCAGCACATAATGAACGCGGCAAAGACCACTGCACTGCCAAGGGAACTAAAAAAGAAAAGGACGGAGAGCACTGTGCCGTGTTCAGGGCGAGCCATCCTGGAAACGGGGTATACGTGGTCTTCCGGCATGCTGGGCCATGGAAGTGCCAAATGTCTTTGTGGACTGTGTCCCAAAAAGAAAGGCTAACCTAGGGAACCAGGTCTTACCGCCCCACACCCAACAGCGCTCCCCTCCACTCCATCCTCTCTCTCCCGGGAGCTCCTGGGCTCACCTCTGCTCTCCTTTGCCTAGGTCCACTGCCTGAGCCCTTTACCAATGGGGAGATACAGAAGGTAAGTGGAGGCTCTCAACCCTGGGGATCCTGGGGGTGCGGGAGATGGATCAGAAGGTGACATGGTGGTGAGGACAGGCTCCTGGCTCAGGTGAAGCCTTGGGCCCAGTTTCAGCTCTTTCCTGGGCTCTGAACTATAAAACTGCCAGTGTATCCTGTCCTGGTCCCTGCCCAGGGCTGGGGCTGGGAGGAGGGGGAGGCCTGCCTGGGCCCCACTGCAGCCCGCCATTCTGGGTGATAAGCCCCCTCCTCCAACTCCCCACCGCACAGAAGAGGCCATTCTTCCCCCCAAGAACAGAGCTTCAGTGTCCGGCCGCACTGCCGGGGCCCCTGCTACTTCCAGTCTGGGTTGGAAGAACAAAGCCCCTCCTCCCTGGGTGGAAGGGAAGGGGGTGAGGCTGGGGAAAGGATGGCGGGGCTGGGTGCCAGCCAAAGCCATGGAGGAACCAGGAAGAGGCTGAACGCCAAGCTGACGTCCCAGCCAAGGCCTTCTCTCTGGGACAGGCCAACTCAGAGTCAGGCCACAGGGTAGGGGCTCTCTGCAGGGTCTGCTCCAAACTTCCACAAGGGGAACCTGGCCACCCCACCAGTGGGCCTAGACTCTGCATTGTCTTGTGCCTTCAGGGCTCTGCTTAGCTGCTTTGGCAGGTGGCAGGAGCTTCAGGGAGCACCAGGTTTCTGGGCCAAGCAAGGGGGCCCCAGTGTCCTCACCTCTAAAAAGACCTGGGTCACTGCTGCAGCCACACTGGGGAGGGCAGGAGAGGGAGCAATTCTGCTGATCTCGTGGCTGCACCCCTCCTGCCCGGGTCGTGGAACCAGGCTGCCCTCTGATCCTTTAAGGAATGTAAACCCATAAATCCAGGAGCCCAGAGCCTGTGGGCTTCAACACTGGGAGCTAGGGACAGTGTGAGTTGGGGCGGAAGGCCAGGCTCAGCTTAGGACTTCTCAGGCTGAGGCCCCATGGCCCTGCCTGGGAGTTCCTCTCATCACCCCCTCCTCTGTGCCAGGAGAACAGTCAGGAAGCCCTGGCCGAGGACAGCCCCAGGCCGGCCCTGGCTAGATCCACCTCCAGTGACACCAGTGAGGAGGTAAGTGGGCCAGCTGGGCAGGGGGCGGCGACTGGGTTACAGGAAGCCGATTCCCAGGCCACGCTGGTTCCTGGCACACCAGCCCACCTCTGGGGTCACGTGCTGAGCAGCCTTCTGTTCTTGTGACCTGGCTTCCCTGGGCATGGCCCCAAGGTGTCACCTCACTGAGGAAGAGGACCAGGGACTAAGTCCCTTCTCTGCCCTCCTCCTTCCCAGCTGAATTCCCAAGACAGCCCCAAGAAACAGGACTCTACTGCGGCCTCGTCTACCTCCTCCTCCGACCCTGTCTTGGACTTCAATATCTCCCTGGCTGCAGCCAAAGCGAGGGCCCACCAGAAGCGCAGCAGCAAACGGGCCCCACAGATGGACTGGAGCAAGAAAAACGAACTCTTCAGCAACCTCTGAGCACCCTGTCTGGCAGCTGCCCCGGCTGGGACAGCCAGCCCAGCCCCGCCAGCCCAACCTGCCTCCCCCGCCTTCCTCCCGCTACCCCCGAATCGACATACCAATCAGCATCTCCCTTCTTGCCGAATCTGATTTTCCTAGAGAACTGTGGTCTTCCCTTCCCCTCGGGAAGGTGAATGTCTTTCTGTCCCACCCCAAAAGCAGACTCTGTCCTCACTGAGTGCATAACCCTACCAGGTGTCCCCACGCCACCATGCCAGGGACACCACTAGGACATGCAAGCAAAGATCATGGGACCAGGCAGGAGGCCATGCTCCCTTGTGACCCTGCGTGATGACTGGGTCCAGGCTGACCCAGGAACTCTGACAGCAGCAGCCACAGCTGGCGGGGACCGCAGCCCCACCCCCCGGCTGGGACAGCCAGCCCAGCCCCGCCAGCCCAACCTGCCTCCCCCGCCTTCCTCCCGCTACCCCCGAATCGACATACCAATCAGCATCTCCCTTCTTGCTGAATCTGATTTTCCTAGAGAACTGTGGTCTTCCCTTCCCCTCGGGAAGGTGAATGTCTTTCTGTCCCACCCCAAAAGCAGACTCTGTCCTCACTGAGTGCATAACCCTACCAGGTGTCCCCACGCCACCATGCCAGGGACACCACTAGGACATGCAAGCAAAGATCATGGGACCAGGCAGGAGGCCATGCTCCCTTGTGACCCTGCGTGATGACTGGGTCCAGGCTGACCCAGGAACTCTGACAGCAGCAGCCACAGCTGGCGGTGACAGCAGCCATCACCCCTGGGAGCGGTGGCCTGGGCATCTTGTTCACTCGGTTTGTTTTTAAGAGTGCAGTATGGGGGGGGGGAGGTTCTATGATTAACATGATTTCCCTGGTTGTCACATCTACCAGCCTCGCCTTAAACTTTTATTTCTCCTCCTACTCTTGAGACCTGGGCAGTGTGGGGAGGACCTGGCTGCACCCTGTCCCCCTGAGCCAGGCATCACATAGGGAAACGCCTTCAGAAATCTAGCTAGTCCCTCCAAACCACTTCAGCGTCCATGTCTGCCTCTGGAACTCAGTCCTCCGGCCTCACAGCCCTTCCAGGGGGAAGAGAATTGGCAAGCCAGTTCCCCCGGAGTAGCCTATAGCTGAGAGGATCGGGTACAACTGGAGGGAGGACTCACTAGGGCTCCCCATGACCCCAAGCCTAGGCATGCGGGAGCCCTGTGGGACAGGCCCCATCAGCACCGTCAGCTGGTGGGTGTGCGCGCCGGCAGGGCCACAACTGACATGCGACGGGTCCATGCAATGGAGAAAGTGGGAGGTGTGGGCTGAGGTCCCTCTAATTCAGGACCTGTGCAAGTGTGAGTCCCAGGATGGGGCTGGATGGGAGTACAAGGACTCAGCCCGGTCAGCAGGTGTGGGTTCTCAGGAGCGGGCTAAGCTGGCGCCAGACACTCTTATCTGGCTGCCAACCTGATTGGAGGGCAGTTGTCCAGCACGAGGGGCAAACAGACCAGTCTGCTGGGCCCCAGGACAGGCAGCAGGGTGAGGCAAGGTGGAGGGGACTTTGCAAGGGTGAGATGCCCTGCCGCTCCTGGAGACCCAGGTCCCTTATTCCTAAGACTGTAGTGCCAGAAGATTCCAGGGCAAGTGCTCAGAAGAAAAATCCCCAAGCTACTTTCACTCCACACAACCCACAGGGAAAGCCCTCAGGGACGGAAGATAGGACCCTCATGGAGGACACCATGGAGCACTTGAAGTTGAGGAAAGGGCCAGCTGCTATCTGGCCGTCTCCGCCCCAGTGTGCTGTGCTCCCCCACCCCTGCTCCACTGAGGCCCGCGGGAGCAGGGAGCAGGCCTCGGGAGTGGCCGCAGGGCTGTGCAGGCGTCCTCCCTACTGGGCTGCTGGGAGGGCAAGCCCTGGGAGACCTTGCATTAAGCTGAAGACGGTGGCTCAGGGCCCTCCCATTGCCCTGAGCTAGAACACAGGGAGCCATGGAGAGCAGTTTTGGTTTTTTTTTTGGTTCTAGTCTTGAATGCAGTCTGAGGTGAAATAACCAGATGGAAGGAGCTGTGTTTAGAAAACATGGCAGTGCATCCCAGATGATGAGAAAGGGGGAGACCTGCCTCTTGCCAGGCAGCCTGGCCCCAGGAACCTGTGCCTATGCTGCCCCCTCCTGGCCTGGTCAGGTGCCGTCCCAGAGGTGGAGGGGAGGAGCAATAGGGGCAGGGCAGCCTGAAGCCCTCCAGGAGGGCATTACTGTGGCACTGGGGCCCAAGGTCTCCTGCCTCCCTCTGCAGAGCCAGCAGCTGAGCAGGAGTCCCCAGGGTTAGGGGTGGGAGGGGGCCACAAAAGCTGTGTCTGAAACTTAATGCTTGGCTTAAGAGGAGCTCCAAAGAGAAAGCAGGGGCAAGGACATTAGGTCATTGTCCCCAGGCTAGTACACTCCACCCAACCGATAGGGAAACCACTCAAGAATGGACGACAGTACAGGGCAGGACACCAGTGGGACCCCTGGAGTTGAGGGAGGGCCAGCCACTATCTGGCCATCTTGGCTCTCAGCAGGGTTTGGGGCTGAAGGCACTCCCTTTCTGAGCCTGTGGGTCCAGCTCTGGGGTCACAGCACCCCTACTGCAGGACAGCAGAGGGCTGAGCTACCCCTGCCCCCCACACAGCCAAAGAGGTGCCTCTGGTCTCCAGGCAGAAAGACCTGTCCCTTCCATTCCCACCTCCACCCTGACCTCTCCCCTGCGTCCTCTCCAGGTTCCTAGAGTCTGCATCCAGGTTTGGCCAGGAGGGGAAAGGACAGACACTGAGGCAAATCCAGCCAGTGCCCAAAGCCTGAGGCAGGGCCAGAGCCTCTGGCCTGAGGTTGTCAGCTTCCCCTCTGTGGCAGGGCTTTGGTCTTCAGTACATGCAGCCCCAGCATCCCTGCTCACATGCGCTGCCCAGGAGGCCTGGCCTCAGCAGGGCTCTGCAGACCCTTCTCGGTACAGCTGCTCTTCCATGTGGCTGGGCTGCTCCCGAAGCCACCCCCGCTCCCGCCGGCTCCA